ACAGAAATAAAGTCCACATTAAAAATTGCAAGTGAGCTTGAATTATTTCAAACAAGCAGCACTAGAAATATACAGAAAGCAGTGAAATTTTGGAAAAGTAAAGTATATTTAATACTGGTACAGTTTGGAGGTAATGAATAGTGTGACATCATAAATATTGTAATTGTTTTCCCTTTCCTTAAACTTAGTTTTTCACATTGTAAATTAAATTTTGAAGGTGAATAATGTATTGTTCATAGCAAAACAAGAAGGCTTGTTGTTGTGCTAAAACTTACCTTCCCCAAATTAAGGATCGCAACAGCACAAGATTCTTGAGACTATGATAATATGATTGGTGACGATTCCAATTGTGTCAGTGACTACAGAGTTTAATGTTGTAACATAGAAACATTCAAATTCTATCATTATTGCTCAAGAAAAAAAATCGTTGTGTTCTACTATTATCTGTATGAATTTGTGTTATTTCTGCATGGTTTAGACACAATAAATTGAGAAAGCCAGAAATATTTGCTATAAGATGTCTCAATTCTTAAATTACCGCCTCTAAAAATAAATATTCGATAGCACCTTAGGTTACTTCTTGGGATACCTTTAACTGTGTTGAGCCGTGCTTGTTATTAAGTGCTCCCTTGTTTCACATATTTTCCTCCAGAACCAGCAGCAATTGCAATGATTATGTTGATAAAAATGTTCTACTTTAGAGTATAAATAGTTTAGTAGTTTAGTAATCAGATTCTGCAAAGAGGGCATTTTTAATCATTTGTTTTAAAAATTCAGGCCATATTTCTTAATTTGGCATAAATTTTTCACTTGAGTGTACTTTTATGATATATAATTGGAAACATTTTGTACCAGCCTGGAAGCAGTTCAGTAACCAGACACTTCCTCCAAATCTCCTTTAATACCATGTGGTTTCAAGAAGCATTTCCAGCAAAGCCACAGAAGTGGGTTTTCTCCATTTAAATTATAATTTCAATCAATACAGTGAAATAAAATATACTTTATGTCTTACTAGAAGTCATAATTTTAAGCTAGTAAGAGACAGTGATTGAAATGGTAAAGCCTTACACTTGTTAATGGAGGTAAGGTTTGTTTCCACTTTGGATTTGGGCTCTGCAAAAACGGTTTCTACTTGACTTGCAAGTACTTGTGGAATCAGTGTGGTGATGGGTGTTCACCAGCTGCTCATAAAAGAGTAGACTTTGACTTGCAAGACAAGTTAAATGTTCTCCAAAGCTCACATAGCACATACAATGATCGTACATTTTTCCAACCTAGCTGCACACAATATACATGATGCAAAATCATCATTGTCATCATCATCATCATTGTCATCATTTTTAGATACGTGCAAAATCAAAAACATGAAAGTTTGAATGGTTAGTTAGGGAGAATTTTGGTAGCACCAGTTCAGAGGTAAGCAGTGGAACTTCCTGTACTCTAGCGATACTTTTGTGTTGGCACTTTTCTTGTAGGAGCCAGCAAGGATGTTCAACGAGATGCTAAGTATTCTGAGGAGGCAGAGAAAAAGCTTCTTTTAGATATGCTACAGCGAGAAGTGAGGAGAAACTTAGGTTGATTCAAATATTAGAATATGAAAATGTGGTTCCAGTCTCCTGCTTGAAAATTGGCACTAATTCCTCTGAAGAGGCAGGGAGGAATATGATGCTCGTTTTATTGGATGTTTCTGTAATGATTTTTTAGTACACTTAAAAATAAAATTTTAGTTGGGGATACTTAGCCAAAATATCAATGATAATATATACTTCATAATGCTGCTAAGATGTACCCATCATAGATTCTTTTCACTAAATAACAAGTATATGACTAGATATAAGAAGTGATTTTTCTCTATCATGTAAGTGATCAAGCATATTTTTAGGTGTAGAGTTTCTTAATTGTTTAACACAAAGTTTTGTAAAGCATCTGAAACAGTGAACAAAATATTACTAAAAGCCTTTAAAATATACCAACACTTTGTTAAATGTCTAAACTTACAGAACCAGGCCTTGGATAAGGAACTTTTCCTTCGTAGAGTGACCAGTGGTATTCGGGTCCTTCCTTGTGTGCATATGGTCCATTAAAAGCTGCCCGGATGCTAGACATATGATAGACACATATAGCATGCCCCCTAAATATATTACTGGAAAAAAAAAAAGATAATTACTATTCTGGAAATGACTAGGAAGTCAGTCAAACCCTCCAGACAACATAGATAACAAAGGTAAAGTCTCTTGGGTAAAAAAGTTGCAATCCCTTAAGCATAGGATATTCTAGAAATATTAACTATTGTAATATTTCAAGTACTGAAACTCCAAAACTTACTATTTCTTTGCCTGTTTGTTATAATAAATAGAAAATTATATTGTTCAAATAAAAAAAGTACTTAGTTGTATCACTTCACTTTATTATTGCTAAGTCTTATATTGCATTTTTATATTTTTATTAAGGAAGATATGGCTTTAATATTCAAAAAGATTCACTCCCAAGTTGAATTATTCATTTTAAAGTTTTATCTCCTTGTATGTTGTTACAAATTCAGAGCAGACAGTATTATTCTAATCACCATGCTGTTAATATTGTTACAAATTCTATTTACATTTTATTAGATTTCTCAGCATATATGATCTGAATAACAAGCTAAAGTCTCATGAAAATTTGGGGCTTTGTTCCATTCTTTACCTTGGGGTCATGTAGACGTTAAGAAGCTTGCCGTATATTCCTTCCTCCAGGTCACTGAAAACTGTGGTATAGTGGAAAGATGACTAGACTGAACTAGATTAACTTGGGGAAAATGACTTAAATTATAAAATCCAGATTGTTTACCTCCCAAACTAGCAGCAACTAAAATTATTTCCTTGATAAAAATTTCTACTTGAAGAGGATAAAGACAGTAGTTGACTAACTATGTAGCGAGTTTTATTGGGGGCACATGTAATAAGATTTTTCAAAAGGACATTTTTCAATGATGTGTTTTAAAATTCTGGCCCCTTTTCTTAATTTGGCAGCACCTGAAAGAAGTCTAACATCTCCCCAGTCCTCTTGTTGTGAGAATCAAAATAATTAATGTTTGTGAAAGTGCTTTGCAAAATGCAAAGTTCTTCATAAATATAAAAGTTCCTACACTCTCACACACCTGTAGAACAACAGTTGTTACTGTCTTAGGGCATCAATTCACACATTTTATAACACACCTTGAAGCAATTGGAAATGCCTGCCATAGTGAGAAAACCAGAAATAGACTCACAAAAGAGTGACAATAAACCTTTGATCACCATGCTACGAAAATGAACCCTTACATCAGGTAACAGCTGGGAAAACTTTTCCTCAGATTTATGTATAAATTGAACAGTCAAAATTGAAATTATGTAATAAAATGATGTCTTGTCTTTAAAATCTGGATAGATCCACTATTTTATCATTTAGGAAAGTAGCTTATAAACCGATCATACTAACCCACAGAAAACTATACTAAATATCCTATAGCTTGTATTTATCACAGAAAGCCATGAAATTACCATGCCATGCATAAATTCTTTACTGGCATAGGGGAGAAGATAAAGTTAAAAACAAATTAAAGATTTTGTATGGACTGTGATATCCACTAATCTACATTAACTACTTTTCTTTACATCAAGGAACAATTGATAGCAACATTGTTTCCATGTTTCTCTGTTGGAAAAAAAGGTCTCCTTACAATAGCAGGAGATATGTAAAAAGAGCTTTATTATTTTTTTTGAAGTGAGCATAAGAAATCACCTGCTGAAAAATTAAACAAAAGCTTTGTGGAGAAACCCTAAGCAAATAAGTTATACATGGTTATAAAACCAGTGCAATGCAAAAGAGGAACTAAGTTATATCATTTAATCCTTGTGAAGAGAATTGAGGCATATTCTATATTTTTCACTTCAGTCATCTCACCTCCACTCTGCCTTATTTGGAAAAACACACAAGAAATATTTTATATTCTAAACCTATTCGAATTATATTTTTTATTCCTGTATCAATACACAGAAAATTATATTTTTCCAGCACTCTCCAATACATACAAAATATAAAAACATAAGAAAGAAAAACAATAGATTATAAGCCTTAAACATGAGCATCTTATTTAAACATGGAAAGCAAATCACAAACATGTGTTCACTATGAATCCACAAAGCAGTAGGACAACCAGAATCAAGGGTGAGTGAACTGTTTTGTGATTAAAGAACAAGGAATATTTCTTGAAGATGACAATTGACAAATACTGAAGAACTAATGTAAATCAGTGTTAGAAAAGAAAGTCATTAGAAGCAACAGAAGTAGATAAATAAATCACAGTGATGGGAACTAATAAAGTAGACACTAGGATTCTGTCAGGGTGTCAAAAACAGAGCATTAGAGAACTTAGAAGAAAAACTTCCAAAGCTGAGTGGATAACAATTGATAGAGAGTCTTGAGGGCCTGACTTGGAAAATTTTATATGCTGATTAAAAGATGTGTAGTATTTGTTTTCCTTGCCTTTGGAGTCAGATTCACAAATAAGTCAGACAGAAAGGACAAAAACCATATGATTTCACCCATATGTAAAATGTTTTTTAAAAAAGAAACAAACGAACTAATAAAATGAAGCAAAAACAAACTCACAGATGCAGATAACACATTGGTGGTTACCAGAGGGGAAGAGGAGTAAGAGAAAGTGAAATGGGAAAACGGGGCATGGTAACAGATAGAAATTAGACTTTTGGCGGTGAGCACACTATAATGTAAACAGATATTAATTTATTATGTTGTACACCTGAAACATATTAATAATGACGCCTTGATAAAAAGATTATTCCAGACTCTATAGCATGGAACTGATATCTTATAAACTATATGAGAAAAAAAATCATTCTGTTGTAGATGAGAGAGAGAAGAAATTAGGAGAGTGAGCATAGCAGGATGCTGGGATACTTCTAACAAAAACAAATAAGGGTCTAGATTCAGATCAAGGTTTTAAAAATGAAAGAACAGTATTCACTTCGGCAGCAATCTACTAAAATTGGAATGATACAGAGACGCTTAGCATGGCCTCTGTGCAAGGATGACATGAAAATCCCTGAGGCATTCCATATTTTGCACTTGGCCCTTCAGCACTAACACAGTGTGCACGATTTTAATCTGCAGTCAATGGTCTGCTTTGCCATAAATATCTTACATTTTTCTTCATTGGTATAGCAGTCCCGCTTATCTGAGGTTTCACTTTCCATGGTTTCAGTTACCCATGGTTATCTACGGTCCAAAAACATTAAATGGAAAATTCTAGAAATAAACAATTCATAAGTTTTTAGAAAAGGAAAAAGCAACTGAAAACACGGGCTAACAAATAGAAATTGGTGACTTATAAAATACGGAAAATGAGAATGACAATAGGTCAATAGTCTTTCCAAGTTAGACATACAGAGAAGGAGTGAGGCATATTTTGTTTCATAATGTTTTTATTGATCATGTACATTTCTCACCTCGTAGTGTTAAAGAGTCCAAATATCACTGGATTCTTACGATCTCTAGTATGCAGCAAAAAAATATCCTCTGAAAAATTGAAGACCATTACATTAGTTAGTACTTTCAGTCCTCTTTGCACATAAAGAAAATATATTGTCATAAAATAGTTTAGAACTCATTATAGATTTTAAGATATAAATTTTCACATACAGTCATACAACCATGCCCCAATCACAACAGTGAAATACTTGGCTGTTCGGGGTGGCTTTGAGCTGAGTCTCAAGAAAGGACCAAGAAGTGCTTTAAGCTAATGAAAAGGGTCTATTTTTGTCCCTGTAACTCCTTTGCCCCACCACATGGACCTGGCCAAAATGAAAAGAACAAAAACTTGCTCTAAGTTAGACAAAAATCAAACATTGCAGAAAACAAGTTTTTCTATATATGCTATGGAAAGTGAGGGTTATAGAGAAAATACATATGTAGAAAATACATCACAAAGAGTAAAGTATAATTCTCCCAATATTTACCTAATTCATCAAAATATGTATCAATTCCATTCAATCCTGGTACTGAGCAAACCAGTCGTGCTTTTAGGAAAGTGCTCCACTTATTCACTAGTATTCTCTGCCCTCCCACATCATTCTGTAAAAAATAAAAAGCAGTTAAGTGGGTACCTAAAGAACTTTTGCCAATAACAGGCTTTGTAGTATTAAACTTGCAGATTTTTTACTTAATGTGGAAAATTTAGCATAATCCTCAGATAATAACATAAATACAATTCCCCATACAATTTTTTTAGGTTTGCACATTCCACCTGGGTAGTGTACTTTCACACTGGTCCATTAAATATACTTTCCAGGCATTAGACAGTGTTAATACAGGGGTCTCTCCTAAATAATACTTTATAGCTTTTATGATATAGTAACATTTTCTATTTTATTGCTATATAATCTGCTTATCTCATAAATATGGAAGCATCCATTCCTTTTTTCTTTTAGAAAAAAAGCTTCAAATATACACACACATGACATACATATAATATATATTTGCACACACATACACACAATATATACACATACATATATACAGTGACATGTACAAATCTCTTGTTAAATATCTAATTAACTTTATACTTGAAATATTCTGTCAATATATATTGCTACTTCAGTTGGTTTCAAAAGTTCCCAAATAATCTATCTGAATACCCAATAAATTACAGATGTTTTTTCTACAGAATCAATCAATTGAATTGTTGAAACATACTTACATAAATGACTTAGAATGTGGACTAAAGAAACTAAAAAGCTTTTGGTTAAATTAATTTTTTTAAATGGAGCTCAAACTTCTGTGGGGGTAAGAAGTACAGCTTCATTATAGACTATTTCTTCTTAGTATGGCTTTGAAAATGTGGAAAATCATACAACATGCAAAGCTCTTTCAAGAGAAAACTTTCACTAGATATGAAGTATAAAGATTAGGAAGCCTACTAAATAGTAGATAAAAATCTTAAATTAGAAACCTACTAAAACATTTACAAAGGCCTTACCATAAATTGCGAGGTAAGCAAGCTTAATGAGGAGGAAAATGCATTCCTTACCAAGCAAAGCCGCCCTACTCTGGTGTAGATTGCATGGGCATTGTTTTCTGCCTCCAGAGCTTTCTCAGTAAAAAAGAAATACACTTTGTTGTCATCTTGGTCTTCATTGTCAGGAATCATATATGAACCTACAAATTTTGGTTCTATAGAGGTAAAAAAATTAGAAAAAAGGTAAAACAGTTATTAAAACAAAATGGTGTTATTTTAATAAATTATATATCACATAAAAGCTTCAGTTTAATTTTCGTTATTTATACAAAAATAAAATATTTTCCTTGAAATTTTATATTAAATATTAAAAATCATTCCTATTAAAATAGCAAAACAATCAGTTAATCTAAAATTATACTAACTGATAAAACAACTTATTAGATGAAAGTGTTTTTCACTTTTCATGTATTTGCCTTGTTTTCTCCATTTAAAACCTAAATGATTTCTAAACATTGCTATAAATGTAATTTGGTCTTATAACAAAACCAATTAATTTTGATATGAAATGATATACACATACCATATATAACATTTTAATTCATAAATATTGCTAATTTTACAAATCCTAAAATTTGTAAATCCTAAAATTTGTAAAAACTATAAACTTTATTTGTAGTTATTATCATCAAAATGAGAAATTCCCTATGAGTTCTACAATTATATTCAGTTCTCATTTACATACTTGCTGCTTCTCAACCCCACCTTTCAACAGGCGCTCATCATCGTGCTCAGTGCGAATGTGGGCCAGGCGTCCCATGCTCCGGAAGAGGGCAGCATCTCTGCCCCAGTAGTCACTGTACAGTCCAGCAAACAATTCACTACCTACATGGAAAAATCAGTTAAAAGTAAGTTAGTGCTCCTTTCTGGATCTGAAGACAATGCATAAACCACAATTACATTAAACACATCTAGGTTTATTATGAATACGATCTTACGAAATTAATTCTATTGTTAAGGTCATGCATGGTAGAGTCTGACTGCCAGTTTCATCTTGACTCTGCCACTTACCAGCTGTATAAAGTTAGGCAAACTGTTTAACCGCTCAGTTTCCTCATTTATAAATAGAAATAGCGACTCAAAAGGGTTAGGAGTAAAAAAAAGAGTAGCTGGCACATACTAAGATCTATATGAGCATTTGATAAATATTCTGATTTGATCTTATTTTATTAAAATTCTTTTAACCTTCATATCATCAGGTTATTATTATTATTATTATTTATTATTGGTATATATGTGTCATCTAACTCAAATCGTTTTTATAACAAGAAATTGCTTCCATTAACGTGATTTTAGTGTGGGACTATGAAGTCTGATGGGTAAGTTTGTGGCTTTAGAAAAGCTATACAACTTATAATTTAATCATGCAGCCAACAGAATGAATGAAGTTAGCTGTAACATATAGTGGAGGTCACAGATCTAAAATCATAGCAAAGAACACACAAATACATGCAGTGTCTCAAGACATTACAATGTGTCTTTGGAGCCATCCAGAAAGAAAGACATTAAAATAGCTTATGAGGAGAGAAAGAAAAAGTTAACAATTAGAAAAATAACATAAGGATATAACTGGACTCCAGGAAAAATAGCACCTCTCAGGTTAGGGACCTGGAGTTCTCTTCTGTCAGAGACAAAAAAAGGTAATCAGTGTACCAATCAGTGGTGCCAGAAGGATTGTCCTGAGTTTACTCAGCCAGTCCAGGCAAAATCTACAACCAAGAAGCAAATGATAGCAGCACATCGCTGGAAATAGCAACCTCAATTTGGGGTGGTAAAATTCTTTTCTTTGTGAATGTCATATACTCCTAGTCAGTTGTAAAAAGACAGAGATGATGACTACACTAAACTCAAAATATTAATGCTTTTCTGTTTAATTTGGAATATGTACATATATATATATACACATGGTATTTAAAGTGCTTTAAAGTTTAGGAAAATTCAACTTAACCGTATTTCCAGTTTAATATATTTTAACTATATACTCAATTAAAGGTGCAGATATATAAAAAAAGACCAAGTATATAAATAGAATTTGAGAAAACTTGAGTGTCATATTTGTAAATCTTAGTGATTAGATTAAAAAATGTTTCAATATTTATGACGATTTTTTCCTAAGGTGAGGCATTTAAAACTTTTAAAAACTTGAATAGATTAAATATGTTCATATGGTTTAATATATGAGAAAGTAACCAGTTATAAATAGGACATTTTGTAAGGAAGTTAATTTTCAACTTGAATTAAGTGATTTAATTTTTAAAAAATGAAAATGTTTGCTCTTGTTATATCAGATATAAAAATAGAATGAGACATGAATCGAATTCAAAAGTTTAAGAAAAATAAGTTTTTAGAAATGTTATTATAATAAACTATTTTTTAATACCAAAAGACAAAAAATTGTAAATTGTTTTTTCAGTTCTCAAAATTTACTATGGATACTTAAAAACTACATAGGATACAAATAAGTAAAATACAAGTTTCCCACAAAAGGAATTTACTTTAAAACTATACATATTATATAAGAGAGAAGAAAGGGGGAGAGGAAGGAAGAAGGGAAGGGGAGACAGAAACAAATGTGAGAGAAATTAACAACTAGTGAATCAACGTAAATTTGAAAAATTTGAAGATTATAAGTTTTAAAAAAGAGCTGTATTTGTCGAGTTCATCTAATATATTCAACATATGCTAACTGAGAAGAATGATAAGGAAAATGAAAGAACTGGAAAACAAAGAAGCTTTACACCTGGACTTAAAATATAACTTGGTAGAGAAAGTTATACGAGACTCTTATTTAAACACGTTCGTTAGTAATAGAAAGGGAAAAAGGCAACATAATTTATATCAAAGTCAACTAGTGGTAATTGTTAATGGAAGCAATTTCTTGTTACAACTAGAAATTTTAATGGAGAAAATGTATTTTGAGATAAAATACATTCAGTGGTTAGGGATGTGAACCATATGTTGGATTCTGTACTTCTTGAATACGGATAAAAGTCGTGCTGAATTCATTAAAAGGCCTTGGGGATCATCATCTCTGTGGCATAAATGAACA